GGCGAAAAGGAAAGATTTACCCAACTGAACGCAGATTTCCAGAGAACAGCAAGGAGAGATAAGGAGGCCTTCCTGAATGAACAGTGCAAAGTAATAGAAGAAAACAATAGAATGGGAAGGACTAGAGATCTCTTCAAGAAAATTGGAGAAATCAAGGGAGCGTTCCATGCAAAGCTGGCCATGATAAAGGACAAAAACGGTAGGGACCTAACAGAAGCAGAAGAGATTAGGAAAAGATGGCAAGAATACACAGAAGAACTATACAAGAAAGACCTCGATGTCCTTGACAACCACGACGGTATAATCACTGACCTCGAGCCAGACATCCTGGAATGTGAAGTTAAATGGGCCTTAGAAAGCATTGCTAACAACAAAGCTAGTGGAGGTGATGGTATTCCAGTTGAGCTATTCAAAGTCTTAGAAGATGATGCTGTTAAAGTTCTGCACTCCATTTGCCAGCAAATTTGGAAAACGCAACAGTGGCCACAGGATTGGAAAAGGTCAGTATACATTCCAATCCCAAAGAAGGGCAATGCCAAGGAATGTTCAAACTATCGCACAATTGCACTCATATCACATGCTAGCAAGGTCATGCTCAAGATCCTACAAGCTAGGCTTCAACAGTACGTGGATAGAGAACTACCAGAAGTACAAGCTGGGTTTCGAAGAGGTAGAGGAACTAGAGATCAAATTTCCAACATTCGCTGGATTATGGAGAAAGCAAGAGAGTACCAGAAAAATATCTACTTCTGCTTCATTGACTATGCTAAAGCTTTTGACTGTGTGGATCACAACAAACTATGGCAGGTCCTTAAAGAGATGGGAGTACCAGACCACCTCACATGTCTCTTGAGAAACCTGTATAAGGGTCAAGAAGCGACAGTTAGAACCGGATATGGAACAACTGATTGGTTTAGCATAGGAAAAGGAGTACGACAAGGATGTATATTGTCACCTTGCTTATTTAATATATATGCAGAGTACATCATGCGAAATGCTGGCCTGGATGAATCACAAGCGGGAATTAAGATTGCTGGGGAAAAGATCAACAACCTCAGATATGCAGACGATACCACTCTAATGGCAGAAAGTGAAGAGGACCTAGAGAGCCTCTTGCTCAGGGTGAAAGTTGTTGTTGTTGTTCAGTCGCACAGTCGAGTCTGAGTCTTCGTGACCCCATGGACCAGATCCCGCCAGGCCCTCCTGTCTTCCGCCGTCCTCTGAAGTCTGCTCAATTTCATGTTCGTTGCATCGATGACACTGTCTAACAATCTCATTCTTTGCCGTCCGCATCTTCTTTGACCTTCAATCTTTCCCAGCATCAGGGTCTTTTCCAGTGACTGCTCCCTTCTCATTTGGTGGCCAAAGTATTTGAGCTTCAGTTACACTATCTGGCCTTCCAGGGAACAGTCAGGGTTGATTTCTTTTAGGATTGACTGATTTGATCTTCTTGCAGTCCAAGGGACTCTCAAGAGTCTTCTCCAGCACCATAGTTCAAAAGAATCTATTCTTCGGCGCTCGGCCTTCCTTATAGTCCAACTGGGCTTGAAGCTCAACATCAAAAAAACTAAGATCATGGCATCCGGCCCCATCACTCCTTGGCAAATAGTAGGGGAAGTCGTGGAAGTAGTGACAGACTTCACGTTCCTGGGATCCTAGATCACCGCAGACTGTGACAGCAGCCATGAAATTAAAAGATGCCTGCTCCTTGGGAGGAAAACGATGGCGAACCTAAACAGCATGATAAAAAGTAGAGACATCACCCTGCCAACAAAAGTCCGCATGGCCAAAGCAATGGTATTTCCAGTAGTTATGTATGGCTGCGAGAGTTGGACTATAAGGAAGGCCGAGCGCCGAAGAATAGATTTTTTTGAACTATGGTTTTTTTGAACTATGGATTTTTTTGAACTATGATTTTATAAAGAAAATCATCTTTAGAAGGTATATTCTCATTCTTCCAAAGTTTAGCGAAAACAATCCTTGCTGCAGTCAAAATTTGCATAATCAGATATAAAATCAGATTTTTAAAAAGTGTCCGGAATTATATTTAGCAAAAAAAATTCTGGCAATAACATTATTTTGGTATCAAATATCTGTTTGATAACCTCTTTTATCATATTCCAATTTTTTTTGGCCTTCTTACATAATCACCACATGTGAAAGAATGTGCCTATACTATGTTTACATTTCCAACAGTTTTTTTATACTTTTGTTGTAACTACTGAGTCTTTCTGGGGAAATATGCCATCTATAGAACATCTTCAGGATATTTTCTTTAAAGGCGCTTGTTCGGACAAATTTTAAATTTCTTGACCATATTTTATCCCTCTGATCTTATTCAATGTTATATCCTAGGTCCTGTGCCCAGGCGATCATTGAGGGTTTTACCCATTCATTCTGCATTTTCCAATCAAGCCAGAAATTGTAGATTTTTTTGATCAATTTCTCATTGTTGGTTAACGAAATCTTATCTAGTTCTGTCTGGTTTTCGTAGAAGCCTGTTTTTTATCTTTTGACCATCTTGATGTTAGTTGTGTCTTCTCCCACCAGGTATCTTGTATCTTGTTCTCTTAGAGTATCTTCTGGGATCAAATAATAAAGCAAACTTCTAACGATAAACATTTTCATTCAGTATTCACTGTGATTCAAAATTGTAAAGGTTTCACGATTCAACGTTGTAAAGGTTTCCTTTGGACCCACTATATATGAAACATGGAGAACACATACTTAGTACCAAACCTCAAACTGTAACTATGTGCAGATTTATGCAGATCGTTATTGTACTCTTGAAAGGCAGCCGGCTGAAAGGGTCTCATTAGGATAGGCTTCACAGTTATGGAGTGAATCTTGTTGAAAATGCCCATCTTTATTTATGAGGATACCAATTAAACAAAGGTTATTACAGAAAAAGAATGGGCAATCCTGTTTGTTAACTGGAAATTCTTTTTTGGTCAAAGGAGGGATAAAAGCAGTTGGCATAGTTCAGCCACAGTTAAGCACTTTCACTAATTTCAACTGGAGGAAAGTAAAATATATCCTTAACTTTCCCACTGAAATCAACAGGGTCTATATGTGCTTAGCTTTGATAGGGATGCTATTTTTAATTAATTAATTATTATTATTACAATTACTACTACTACTACTATTATTTTGCTTCATTTATACCCCACTTTTCTCCCCAATGGGAATCCAAAATGGCTTACATCCTTCTCCTCCCCTTCATTTTATCCTCACAACAACCCTGAGTTAGGTTAAGCAGAGAGTATGTGACTGGCCCAAAGCCACGCAAACAAACTTTCATGGCCAAGTGAGGATTCGAACCTGGGTCTTCCAGATCCTAGTCCACCATTCTAATCACTACAGCATGAAGGTATATTGGGGATATCCCCAGTATAGCAATTTTCAAACTTCTTAAGTAGATTTGCAGCCAACATATAGAATTATATTTTACTTGTTTATCAAATATATTGAATAATGAAATGGATATTAATATTTTGTATGTTTGAATGCTATGTCAAGCATTTTCATACTGGTGTATTACTGCAGTGTATGGGACAGAGGAGAAGAAAAGCCATAAACATAAATATTAGTGTTGGATCCAAACAGCTCCTTTTTTTTTTGTTAGGTAAGAAGCCTTGCTTTGGTGGACAAAGGTTTGATCCAATGGAAGAAGGTTTCTTCTGTTAGTGAAAGGGTGTCACAGTATACTTCATTTAGCATCTATGAAAGATAATGATATAGTGAACATAGATTAGCAATTCCATTTACTGACACAACTGTTAAAATCAACAAGATTTTGCCACTGATTTACTCTGATACAGATTCCTGCCTAAGTTGCTAAATTATACTAGGGGCCCAAGGCACCCTCTTTTTTCGAGTTAGTGGTGCTGGTTAGGCACCGATGGCCAGTCTTTCTACATTTAAAGACAATGTCAATCCACTGACAGTGTCATAACGTGCTGTTTCACACCAGAGTCAAATGTGCAGTATTGGGATGTAATCATCATGAGGTTTTCCACTGTGTGGACTTGTCTGCAACAATTAATTTGAAATTTATTCTGGCGGAAGAAGCACCCTTTCATAAAACATAAAAGCATATAAAAATAAAATCCAGTACCATAGGGCGAGGACTTAATTCTTGTAGGCCAGACAAACAACCAGTGAATCGCTTCTAACTAATTACATAACGCTAATTACATAACCAAGCCCTCCAAACCCAATGTGGGATGTGGCAAATGAAGAAACACTCAACTATCTTTGCGGTCTAATTCAACACAAACCCCAGGGCACTCTCATCTATCTTCCATCTCTCTCTCTCTCTCTCTCTCTCTCTCTCTCTCTCTCTCTCAACAGCCCAAGAGCCACAGCTCAATCAGGCACCTCTCAGTCAAGTCCAGTATTATCCATTAAGGACACAAAATATTCGACTCTCTTTTAAGGTGGCTGAGGCCTCGAGAATCATCCCCACCAGCAGTGATTTCGTATGGAGCAGGTTGAATCTGATAAAGAATCCTATTTACTAATTAGAACAATTCAAGGGCTTTAGGATACAGAATCCAAGATGTTAAAAAACATAGTATGAAAGGAAACATAAATGTGTGAGAACTGTGATATATTTAAAAGGAGTTAAGTTGTTCTTATTGAGCATATAACCTATGCTGGTATTCTAATAATAGCCATTTATTACTAGAACTTTTACTTTTCCATCTTGAAAAGTGACTCAAGTCTTAAAAAGGTAAAGCTTTCAGGGCATACAGTCACCCTATGCATGGTTAATACCATGCGCCAACTGCTAAAAAAAAATCCCTTCTCCAAAATTTCAATATCAGAAAAATAATTAATTTGTTGATACACACACACACAACTATAACTTTAAAAAAAAACTAATTACACACTTTTCTTTACATTGTAACGTTTTATAGTTTCATTTTCCTACTAATGCAATTCATTGTATTTACAGGTTTGCCCAAAGTTTTAAGTGTCTTTACCTTTTTACTAACCTGTAAGGCTATCAGGCCGGGGTGGAACCATTCTTTCATAGATATCATACTGTTGTGTATATTGCTCAATGTCATGAATTGTCCGTTGTAACGTTGTTCCCAAATGCTGCGGAACCGCAGTCATTCCAGAACGCTTTGGTGATGAAGATCCAACTTGGGTTGGGGGTGGAGAGCCTACTCTTGTTTGAGTTTCATTTAGCGAAAGAGGTGAGCCAACTCTGACTGAAGTCTGATACTGTGGAGTACCCCCATTGGGGTTAGTTGGCTGCCTGGATGTTACTGAGCCCATGCGGCGCAGTGCTACTGGCGAAGCAGGTCTCTGTGTAGTAAATGGAGATGCTGCTCGTTGCGCAGGTAACGTTGATGAAAACACATTAGAATTAAGAGACCGTGATTCAGTGACAGATGGTGAACCATAGCCACTTCCTAGAGAAGTTCTGAGCGATCCCCTTGAAGGGGAAACTCCTGTGGTAGTTACATATGAGGGAGACTGGGCTCTTGATGGAACAGAACTTACGCGTCTCATGGCTCTGTTGGCAGCTATGTTTGATGTCTGTCAAAAAGAAAAACAATGCAGATAACAACAACATTTTATTTTTATATGCTGTAAAAAGGTATCAGAAAAAAATCCGTTTAAAACAATTAATCCTTCACCTCATATATCTTATTTAAAAAACCTGTTCAAGCAATGTTTCTTTTTTCTCTGGTGTAATTAATTTTAGGGTACATTTCTGCCACAAATTTAAAGGACTCAATCCAGCCAAAGTTAAACACTGATAAGGCCTGTTGTTTTGATGGCAAATTCCTGCTTAGGTCTTTCCCAATGAAACAGATTACACTAAAAAGTGTATAACTGAACGGATTGTGCCCAAAGTGCTATAAAAATGCTGCTAGATTCCATCCAGTTTGCATTCTTGGAGAATACTGAAAAATCTGTTTTACGTCCCAGTCAAAAAGCAGCTTTGTATTCTAATTCTCTCAAAATAAAAATTTTAAATCTGAAAAAAAGCAGAAATACTTTTCCCTCATGAGGGGCCATAATTATGGTTGCCAATCTCCAGCTGGCACCTGGAGATCTCCTGCTATCACTATTGATTTCCAGATGATCAATGGCTGGAGAAAATGGCTGCTTCGAAGGGCAGACTCTATGGCGTTATACCCTAATGAAGCCCTTCCCCAGGCTCCACTTCCCAAATCTCCAGGTATTTTCCAACCCAGAGCTGGCAACCCTAGCCATAATGGAACATCAGTCTAAAACAGGCTGTAATGCAGATATACTTTCAGCTTAATCGCCTTCTGTTTCTCTGTCTCAAATATGTCACTAAAATCTTAGTTTTAGAAGCAAATTCCTTTTTGCATTTGATCTTGTTTCCCTGAGCTACCTTTCCATTTACTCTCGACATCTTTTTATCTTCATAAGTCTAATCCATAAATTGTATTCAAAACCTCTTTGCAGTTAATTACTGCTACATTTAAATAGGTAAGAACAACAAAAGCAGTATTGTTTTCTGAATAAATGGAAGCAGAGGTGTATGTCTTCCGTTGTGTCATTATTTACAAGTTGAATGGCACCAAATAAAATGTTTAGGGCTCTCATCCATAATCACATTAATGTTAATCAATTAAATCTGCATGGTTTGCACAGCGTTTAAAGCAATCATTCTGAAGGAAAAAAGTTACTTTTGATTACAAATTATGCATGCCCATATTCTATCAGGCTCCATTTCAGAAGACCAATTTTCACCTATACTAAAGAGGGGGATGCCTTTTCCAAGATGATACCAGCTACCCTTGTCTTTGAAAGTACTTGTATTTAATGTTTTGAAAAACTACTTTTGGGCAGTGTTTGCAGGTTCAAATGGTTAAATTTGTACCTCTAAAAGCACTTTTTTGGGGTAATAAAAGGACATTCAGACTCTGTTGCATGTACCTGAACTAAAGCTTGTCCTTCAGCCCTTGAACTTCTCACCAAATGGTTATTATTTGCGCCAATAAAGGAATGCTGCTGTCTGTTTTCTCCCTTGCTAAGGTTCTGGGTATTATGGAAACTGCTTACTTCCTGATATCCACTGTCTGAGTAGGAATTCATCTGTGTTGAGCTTCTTGAGTTACCCACTGATCCTGGGGACATAAAATATAACAAAGCTGAAGTTATTACACAGGCATGGGAAGAAATTATTGAAATGGTAAACCTCCATTTATTCAAAAGATATATAACAGACCCTCACTTTCATGGAGCGATGTCTGCTCTGGTGAGTAGAGATTCCCTTGTTCTGGCTCTGTTCCAACATGATAAGAAGTAATATGAATACTATCAGATGTTCTGAGTTTATTTACACCTGTGTTTGGCAAATCTGAAAGCAGAATTTCATTAGTTATGGATTATATCTGTACCTGTTTACATATACAGAATTCATTCTATCAACATTTCTTCTCAGTTTTATTCTATATGTTACATATAACAAAGATAATAGATAAGAATAATAAACAGAAAATAGAACAGCCCCTACTTTGTTTTTATACACACACAAACACAAATAAACAATTCAACAGATAGGCATTAATCCCTTTTGCTTGTCCCCAGGTATGAATGATCATTTTTGGCCATTTAGAGTTCTATAGATAGTATAAAATTACACTTTTTGCCTTAATTTTTCACATTCTTCCTTTGTAGAATATCCATGATTAACACTTTATTACAAGTGCAAGAGGAAAATGAAGTGGTGAGGGACCCTCAGAGTAAGAATGGGGTATAGCAGCATGGGAGGTTGCAGCAATAGAGTGGAATGAACAGAAACTCTTTTACCTCGTGTGACCTCTTATTCTTTTTGTGTGTGGGGGGCAGGGTAGATTTCCCTTCAAGCTGAGAACCCCCTATGTTCTACCTGTTTGGCTGCCAACAAGCCTCCATTTTTGGCTCTTTTGCCCTTTTTGTTCCCTTCCATTCTATCTTGATGCACCACTAGGTTTTCTTCTCCTTAACTTCACTCAGGTCATAAACAAGATCATTGTTGATGTTGACATGGGAACTCTGTTGATGTGATTTACCTGGTAAAGCTTTTGATAAGGTTCCCCATGACATTCTGATGGGCAAACTGGAAGACTGTGGGCTGGACTATAGGACAGTTTGGTGGATAGGGAACTGGTTAGAGCAGTGGTGTCAAACATGCGGCCCAGGGGCCAGATCAGGCCGGGGGAGGGCTTCCATCAGGCCTCCAGTGGAATTGGCCATCTCCTGCTTCCAGTTCTGCTGCTGCTGCTGCATCATAGCTTGCTTCGCCAGACTCTCTTAATCACTCAATCATTTCATGTTTTAACCTGGGTCCCAAACTCTGAGCATGAGATTTCTGTGGCGAATGTCAATAAATCAAAAGTAGGTTTGCAGCTTACAGAGCTAATGTTTTATGCATGTTTTTATTTTAAGTAAAAAAAACCTTTGTGTTTGTGTCCTTTATAAAGTTTATATCTCCGCTACCTGGCGTTACACTTTATGACACACATGGCTCGGCCCAACAAGGTCTCATTTATGCCAGATCCAGCCCTCATGAGTTCGACACCCCTGGGTTAGAGGACCACACCCAAAGAGTGGTGGTCAATGGCGTTTCATCAGCTTGGAGAGAGGTGTCCAGCAGGGACAGGGCTCAGTTTTGGGCCCAGTACTTTTCAATATTTTTATCAATGATCTGGATGAAGGGGTAGAAAGGCTACTCAAATTTGCTGATGATACCAAATTTGGAGGAGTAGCAAACACCCAAGAAGATAGAGTTAAAATTCAACAAGACTTGAATATTCTGGAGAAGTGGGCAGTTGCAAACAGGATGCAATTCAACAAAGATAAATGCACCGTATTACATCTGGGCCACAAAAATGTCAAGCACAAATACTGGATGGGGGATACGTTTCTGGGGAGTAGTGTATGTGAAAGAGATTTTGGGGTAAGAGTGGACTGTAAACTAAATATGAGCAGTATTCCCTCTAAGCTGAGTTAGTGTGAGCTAGCTCATAGTTTTTTAGCCTCGGGCTCACACATTTTTGTCTTTGCTCAGAAAGGATGGGTCCAGAGCAAACTAATATATGAAGTAGCCAAATTGCGCACTCACAACTTTAAAGCCAGTAGCTCACGAAGTAGAATTTTTGCTCACAAGACTTCACAGCTTAGAGGGAACATTAGCAGTCAGTGTGATCCGATGGCAAAAAAGGCAAATTCAGTCTTGGGTTGTATTAAAAGGGTCATAGCATTGAAATCGCAGGAGGTCATAGCCCCTCTGTATACTGCCTTGGTCAGGCCACACACCTTGAGTACTGTGTTCAGTTCTGGAGGCCTCACTTCAAAAAGGATATGGACAAAATCCAGAGGGTGCAGAAGAGAGTGATGAGGATGATCAGGGGTCTGGAGATTGAGCCCTACGAGGAAAGGCTAAGGGTCTTGGGAATGTTTAGTTTGGAGAAGAGGAGATTGAGGGGGGACATGATTGCTCTCTTTACATATCTGAAAGGCTGTCATTTGGAGGAGGGCAAGGAGCTGTTCCAGTTGGCAGCAGAGGATAGGACCTGAAGCAACAGGTTCAAATTACATGCAGAAATGTATCAACTGGATATTAGGAAAAACTTTTTCACCGTCAGAGGTGGAATCAGTTGCCTAGAGAGATGGTTAACTCCCCTTCACTGACAGCTTTCAAGAAGCGGCTGGACGAATATTTGTCAGAGACGCTTTAGGCTGGTCCTGCATTGTGCAGGGGGTTGGATTAGATGGTCTGTATGGCCCCTCCCAACTCTATGATTCTAAGATGTAGCCCATCGCCACAACAAACAGAGGAGAGCGAGCTAGGTAAGCAGGACCCCATTTAATTCCATCACATTTATTCAGGAAAACAGCTGTTCCAGAGAGAACCCAGGTCTTACTCAGTATTGAGCTACCAGAATGATAATCAAGGCGTTTCAGTTGTTAATCTGTGTGCCTTTAGCCACAAAAGTGCTTATAGCATTAGCATTCTGCCAAAGAAAGAACTGTACACACAATTTTCATTCCACACAAATATGTAAGACTCTCCTTCCCTTTGTAAGTCAAGTAACTCAGCAGACCAACCCTCCATACCACCCCCTTTTCTAAACCCTGAAACAAAAAAATCTTGTTTTCAGTCAAGACACTCGTCCTATAACTGGGATCAAAATCTCCACCGCTGATTATCACACTTCCAGTGACTTCATTGCTGTGTGCTGCTACAGAAACTATCCAGCTGTCATTCACCAAGTGACTCTAACCTACTTTCAAACCACAGCAAGATTTGTTCTTAGCTGCTCTTCCCTTTTGCTCAGATGGTTCAGCCTCTGCCTTGAAATGCAGATTTACTGCCTCGAGCTGCTATAGCCTTAGTCTACCCTCTTGCTCAATCTCTTTGGCCTCTCGCTTTCTCCCTTGAAGACACTGCTCATTGCGTGGGTGCTCAGAAAATCTGGCTTCATTTAGCAAGCTTTCTGGTGTTCGGCATTGTATTGCTTGAGTATTCTTATTCTCCATCCCACCTGTTTGTATTGTTTCAATAAGCTTAGTTTTTAGTTTCCATCTATCCTGATTCTCAGTGTGACTTCCAAGTTTGTACAGATTCCTCACCCTTTTTTCAACAGATCCTTTATAGCTCTTGCATGGGTCACACTGCACAGAATGAGAGGTCTTCCTTAAAGAACTATTTCTGTCTCACCCACCACAGTAGTAGAAAACAGTGCACAAAAACTAGACTTACACACTTAAAATTAAAAGCATAGACAAGAAAAAAACAACGGCTACACAAGCATAACACACTCCTTATAAAAATTAAATTGCCATATGCCCATCTAAATGGAATGACCTTACATTTCTTAGAAGGTGGATGACACAGGGGCCTTCTGCTCCTTCTGAGGATGGGCACTGCATAAAGTGGGAACCCCCCCCCCCAGATCTGGCTTATGCTGTGGCCAATCTGATAGTTTAAAGCTAACGGGGGGGGGGGACTCCAAGATGGTGACAGGCTCATAATAGTGTAGAACCTGTCAGCAGTTCTGTTAGCATAGGGGCAAAAATACTCATTTTAGTGTGGGTTTGGTCCAAACCTAAAAGTGATACATGTTTAGTGTGCAGTGTCTTCCTGACCACATATGGCAGCTGTTCTGTTTCTGGAGTCTCTGGATACTCAGAATCAGATTTTCAGTAGCCAAAGGGAAGAGAAAAGAGGAAGAGATCCATTGTGAGACCTAGTTCCATTTATGCTTTACTGGATCCAACTACATTTTACTAAGCACACATTAAAAGAATCTAATACTTAAAAATAAGCGACAGAAAGAAGTAACTGTAAGTAATTGTGCGAGAGAAATACTTTTGTATATGAAGATTCAATGCTAAAAAAATTTGTTTGTGCTAAGCAGGTGCTGTTTTCTTCTCAGCTTCCAAAGCTGAACATTACATATTTCCTAAGTAGGAAAATTCTGAAGCAGATGTTGATGACTGAATTGCTAGCTATGATATTTATTCTTGCATTTTAGATATAAAACAAATACACTTGCTTCAAAGGCGCCTATAGTTTGAATAATAAAGGCACAGTAGAAAAAGCACTAGAAGGCATAAAATTCATAAGCGGGAACTGCTTCCTCAGTGAATTAATTTGTCATGTTAAACCCCAGGCAATCATTTCGCCTAACTAACAGGTGATGTAAGGGAACTACTAGAAGGTTCCAGGGCAAACTGCCTTTTCAGTACAGTTCTTTTTTTAAAAGGTAGAATTAATTACTGTAACAGCAAATTTGATGGTCACATACTATGGCAGCAAAATGGGGCCACCCACTGGCAAGGTCAGTGTTTTTCCTTACTTAGGGGACTGCAAGCATGCGGACAAATATTCATTTTTAACATGAACTCTCCTTGCCAGTGGCCCAAAGAACAATTAGCCTGTTGAAGGTAACTGTGCTAGTGAAGGGAGGGGGGCAGATTGGTCTGCTGAAGCCCTATATAGCATCTTGGAGAAAGAAATTGGAGATAGGGGCTGTGTGCCGGAAAGCATCTATCCTCCTACCATAAACCCCTCCCACACCATTCAAGGTTAATATAAGATTATAACGGCTATGATTACTTCGAAGAGAAGACAGTCCAGGGGAGGGGATGATTAGCATAGGAGGGGAAATGCTTCTCCCATTCTTAATTAATCACCTCCTCCAAGAGCTCTTTAAGTTCTTTAGGTGACTGAATTGCTGAATCCATGAGGTATGCATCCCTCAACTCCAAGTTTCCTT